AGTCTGCACAATCTTTCTATTTCAGCGTTCTTTATGTATCTCGTCGTTAACAACTATGCTATCCTCTCTTCTTTTATTGATAAGTACATCGTGATAATTTCTAACAGATTTCTTTTCGATTTTTGTTGATACAAGTGTTACACGTCTATATATGACCAAGTGTCTCTCTCTCGGTATCCTTAAACCAAAACTTGAAGAGATGAGACATCAATACCTCGAGAACTATTGACCGATGCGCATATACATATATTTGCTAGATTTTCGCGACAACAAGAATGTTTTTATCTCTATTATCTCGTTTTAGTTTTGACCGATGTGTGGAACGTGATTAGCAAATTGTAACACATGAGTGATTTGTCTCCTGGAAGCGCCAACCGGGAATTATTCGTGAGTCGTTGAAATAGTGTCTAGTGCTAGGCCTCTTCCTCTTATGGCTCACCCTATAAGAACTCGAGTGATAAACCGGTCGGAGCGAACAAAACGTCATTCAGCAGGGATTCCCCGACATACGTGCTCCCCGTTCTAACCGTCTGTATAATAATGCGACACCGTCGAACGAGCACTATTCCTATTCTCTCACTTGTCTCAGTTGTTTTTTACGGAATTTCAATGAAAAGTTTAATCTTATCGATCGAGTTCGAGCTGAATTTCTAATTTTTTTTTTTTTTTGTTATCGTGTAATAATTGAATATTGACACATGTAACATGTACATTTTTAGTCGATTTCTATTAGCTGATTTTTCATTCGTTCATGATCTATAAATCATCATTGAAGCGACGTTTAAGTATTTGCGCTCTACTATCGGGCATTTCGAAATCTCGAGCTTTGTGTGCTCGTTCGAGAGGTAACTCTCGTAGGTGAGGAAAATAAGAGAACAAAAGTAAGAGAACAACTCTCCGTAACACTCTTCCAATGATATATCCATTTGTAAGTGTGTGACTCCCAAGAATGGCTCTCGACAGTATTTCTTTCAAGTGAACAGTAGCCGCTTGTCTTTATGTGATTTGTGAAACATAACGCGCATCAAAATCAACTCTGAGATCTTGACGATTGCTTAGTTGGTAAAGTTATAAGTGGATCGTGTCTCTCATTAAAGCTCGGTCGGGCTACGAGCAGAACTTGGAGTTCGTATCAACGCTTGCCAATGTTTATCCACGCGAATGCGAGGCAAATCGAAAGAACAATCTGGAGATTTCTTTAACACAATTTAGCGTTAAGCATAGCTCGTTCACTTCTTGAATGAACCCGACGTCAGAAGAGATTCTCATAACGGAAAAAGAAAACTAATTTTTTATCGTTGTTTCGTCCCCCATTTCCTTTGTTAAGTTAACTCTCTTTCCGCGTGAATAATTACAGACCGAGTTATTATTACGATATTTATTACTTATCGTTATACTTTATGTTATATGTATTATCGCCATTGCGATTGTCATTGCAATTAATTTTTTAAAAAAGTTATTTATTTTAATCACGGTTTCTCTCAATTCCTCGAGAACTGAATTTTAGAATAGAATAAAAAAAAAAAAAAAAAAAAAAACAGCTTCATTTATTCGATTAAT